AAGGATGGAAAAGTCGGTATGGGATCTTGTTAAGACGAATCCTTGAAAGTGGACGAGTAAAGTACAATTTACAAGTGAATTTGGTAAAGTACGAATAATAAACCAAGCATTCAATTAAAAGACAAAGTTCAGGTGGTTTGCAATCATGCTTACAAAACGATTCAGTTCATATCCTAAGACAAAAGATAGCAAAAGGCATCAACCCATAACAGGGGGATAAAAGAAGCAGCAAACGGCCTCCTGCGAAGACTATGGAGATTCCTCCTCGTCATCCTCGTCTTTATCATCATCCTTGGCGTCATTGTTCATCTTGGCCTTTTTCTTGGCAATATCGAGAACGGGTCCCCACCACGGGAAGTCGGCTGGCTGCGACTTATCGCCATTCCAGCCAATGGGTTCTGGAAGGCCCGATACCATGGAAGCCTTGTCCACGGACTCTGTGAAGCCGGGAGCCTTGGCTAAAGTAAGGGTGCGGTCCACTCCCTCGTGGAAATACTGGAGGCAGGCTGGGCCGAGCTTACCGAGAAAGGCGGTCGTGTGCTCATAATACCCCAATAGCTCAGTTCGGTAATGATCAAGGAAGCAAATGCCACGGTAAGGAAAGAGTTCTCACCGTCCCGGCGAGCTAAGGCCACACGATCATCCACAAAAAGCTGAAGTGAAGTTAATTCAGTCTCTTTGGCATGCATCTGGTTTGAGAGTCTGACGACCTCGTCGCCCCTCAACTTTAGTTGGGCGTTGAGTTGATCGATCTCCTCTTTTTGACGGTCTTTTGCTTCTTTCATACTAGCCACCTCGACCTTCGCAACGTTAAGCTCATTCTGCAGAGTTTCAACTTTTGAGGTGCCTTCTATTTCTTCGTAGAGCATTGGGGCCAGAGCAACCAGCGACTGCAAAGGAACAAAAAACAAACACCTGTTCATAAAGGTAATATCGTTATAATGGTGAGTAAGTAGCTCGATTGGGTTACCTTAACTAGGTGGAGTAAGGCGGAGGAAGCTTGTACTTGATTATCTTCCCAACCGGAGGTTTCTTCCTTGGGAAAGATAGAAAGGAGGTAAGCAGCAGCCGAGCTGGCATCCTTATTACCAGCAAAGGATTTAGGTTGTCCAAGAGCGAATTTTGGACTAGCAGTTGGTGGGGGTGACTCTTCATTTTTCTCCTTTCCACCTTTCGTGGTTTTGGGGCGCTTCGTTTTTGTTTGCTTTACGGAAGTTTGGCTTTTTGGTTGACGCTTCTTTTTTGCTCCAGTGATGGTCTGGTCGGCGGCAGGATCCTGCGCATCCGCAACGACGGTTAGGTCGGCAGCCGTACCGGCTTGGAGGAGTGGCTGAGTGGGCTGTTCGGTGCGCCTGGGTGTCGCGAGCGCCGAGCTGAAAATGGATTCTGGAATGTGCCATACCAACGTAGTTAGTATAATAGCAAACAATGTATATCGTAAACCAAAAAAGAAAAAAACAAAGTAAAGAAAAAAAAAAAAAAAAAACAAAGTAAAGAAGACATAGAAGAAAAGAAACAACAGGCGTAATAAAGGAGGATTAGCTCGTCGTGCCCACCTATGTCATCCACGGTCTCGGCCGGGTAATTGGAGAGTTTGAAGTGATGGAGCAGGCGGGTGTCAGTTGATAATTTTACAACGTGAAGGGGTTTGCTATTCCAATCCGTAATGAGGGCGTCGTATTCGGCATTCGGACGTGGTTTGTCCGGCTGTTTTGGGAGTTCGTGAATCCACTCGGGCGGAAAGTCAAAGGTATCGATAGGAGGGCGTACGAAGTAGTACTTGTCTTTTCAATTGTGGATTTTGTTCTTAGGTTGGCTAAGGAATTTTGCATTATGGCGAGTGGATAGGTAGTAGGTGGTGCCGAGTGGTTTCATCCACATGCAATAAAAGCACAATTCTGGGTCTAGCTTGCCGAGCCTGGCTCGGCATATCATAATGAAGCTTACGAGCATCTGGATGGCATTGGGAGAGTAATGGTTCAAAGGTAAATGATATAAGCTGCTTAGCTCAAGGAGGCCGTCACGAAGAGGAAACCTCAGCCCGGCACCTGCCTGGTCGAGAAAAAATGTATAGAAACCCGATGGGGGATTGTTATAGGAATGTTGAGGTTGAGGTATTTTGAATTCCCAGTCTCCGGGAAGTTCAATCTTCTTCAAAATTTTGGTTATGCTCTCGGGTGAGTGGGCAGAAAGCATGCTAGGGCGAGGCGAGCTAGTCGTGGAGGGCGTGATTTTCGCCTTGTTAGCCGAGGTAGCCGAGGTGGAAGAATCTCCACTCGTCGGCGCCGGCAAGGCTAGGGTCAACGGCGGTTCACCTTGTGGTTTTGAAAGGAAGGACGAGTTCAGATTAGTTGACGGGGCTAGGTTTTCTAAGCAAGGGGGGTGCAATTTGCGAAATCATAACATAACCGATAACAGAACAAATATGTGAGCTAAAGTGAATATGTTTAAATTAGGGCCAGCAATGCTTACTCATGAATCCGCCGGACATGATGGTTGAGATGGAGGATCGAGGGTCTTGCTTGGGAGACTTGCCAAGAAACGGGGAGCACCGCGCCAGATTTTGATTTCTATGTCCCAATTTCGATTTTTATGAGGACGATGAATGAGGATGGAAGATGCAAGGGTGTAGTATTTATAAGGGAAAAATTTGTGAAGGAATAGGAAGGGACAATCCATCTGGGACGTCCATTCAAAACGCAATCAAGGGGGGAGAATTGAGACTTGCTGAGGAAGTTGGGGGGCTTTGGAAAGAGCTCATCACAATTGTTCATTTTAAAATGGATTGAACGGCTAGGATGATTGGGGTACTCGGAATGAGGGTGATGTGACACGTCGAGCTCGTTGGGATGGTGACGTGACGAGCTCACGGAATTCGTCGGGATTGTGACTTGACGAGCTGTGAAATGACGAGCTCATCGAGATGATAGCCTGATGGGATCACTGAGTGGGAGGTGACGAGTTCACGGTTTCGGCGGTGAATGAGCTCGTGATTTTTCGATGTGATTAGTTCGCGGATTTTTTATATGCCAAGCTCGTGATTTCCGATGAGCAGAGCTCATATTTTGCGATGGGTGAGCTCGCGTTTTTGCAGGGTGACGACCTTGGGGTTCTCTCGATAGGCTAAGTTTTTGGTTTGGTGATGTGATGAGTCCGTAATTTGCCGAGGTGACAAGCTCGTAATTTTGCAAGGTGACGAGCTGATGACTTCGATGTGGGACGAGCTCCTACTGTTTGTGAAAATGACGAGCTCATTATCATGCTGATGACAATATGACGAGCTCATGATGATGTCAATATGACAAGCTCATGGCGATATGATAAGCTCATGCTGAGCGGGGAGGTCATGACGGAGCCCGAAGCTCGTCATCATTATAGGCTGAGCTCACAAGAATGACGGGCTCATTATAACAGGTCAAATTGACGTGTAGCGCACCTGTTATAATTGTGATGTGAGGGCGATATGCCGAGCTCATAGTTTCGGTGATACGACGAGCTTGCGGATGTTTGGCGGAGTGACGAGCTCGCGGTGTTATGCCGAGCTCATAGTTTCGGTGATACGACGAGCTCGCGGATTTTTGGCGGAGTGATGAGCTCGCGGTGTCGTGACGAGCCCAGAGCGGCGATGCGACGAGCTCGCGGATTTTTGGTGGAGTGCCGAGCTCGCGGTTTGCGATATGATGAGCTTGCAAAAGCAGTGACGAGCTCGTAGAGATGATGCTATGACGAGCTTGTGATTTGGCATGTGACGAGCTCATGTGACGAGCTCTTGATATTTGTGAGGGTGACGAGCTCCTAGGCATCTGGAGGGTGACGAGCTTGTTTGTCGCAATGATGAGTTCCACATATCCTTGTAGATGTGACGAGCTCGTAGATTTTGTTTCGATGAGACGAGCTCATAGCTTGGTCTTGCAATGCAACGAGTTCGCGATTTTGTGATGAGATGAGCTAATGACCTCTTGCGATGCTCACATTTCTTTATTTCTCAGACAAGTTTGTAGAGCTTGTCCGGAAATGGGGGGGCTAGATGTGTAGCATAGCATTGCTGATATTAAAGGAAGTAGCTCGGCAGGTAGGCTGACCCGGTCCACTCAAAGTAAGCGCCGGATTTCAGATGAGCTCGACCAAGAGCGAAAACCTAGCTGACTAGCCGAGCTAGTTGGTCAACTGTGGGAGGCCAAGCTTGTAAGCTGGCAGGTGAACGAGCTGATAAATGACGAACACACCTGAATGTTGGGAATGAGCTCGGCGGTACAAAGGAAGGGCTCAGCCTGGTAGAAGGAGGTGGATGATGTTACGACAGGGAGCCGTTGCGCGTATCACGGAGATCTTCCCGGATCATAGGAAGACAGGGTCGAGTAGGACTCTATAGTCGTTGGATAAGATTTGCATTGCCCAGAGGTAGGCGGAAGAAGGACTCTTGTCATCACAAGAGTCTTTAGGGCGTCCGCCTTCGGATATAAAAGGGGCAGGTTCCTTTCTTTTTACACATAACACACAACATCTATGAACATACACTTTGTCTCATATATCTGCTACTTCTCCTAAATTCGTCACTGACTTGCGCGTCGGAGTGTTTGCGCCGGGACCACCCCCGGCGTACTTGCAGGTTACCGGCGATTCAAGGAAGGCAAACCGATTCGGAGAAGCGGTCTAGCGGTTCGAGACAATTTGACATATCAATATATATGTAATATTTTTGTACAAAAAAAAAATAAACGAGACGGTTCGGAAAAAAATTTATAAAAACCGATACCGACATTGTTTCAACCGGTTCGATACCAGGAACGGTACAAAAATTTTAAAAACCAATTTGGAACTCTATTTTTCGGAACGAGACCATTTCAATCCGGTTCAGGATCAGGAATTCCCCTTTTTATTGCCCACCCCTACCCTCACCTACTTCTACTCACAACCTGCCTCCGAACATTTCACCTCATTCCCCAATCCCCCTTCTACATAAACCCTAATACAAGACCACATCAATTTCAGCCTACAGGTAATTTTCCCTTGCATTCTTGTGCGAGCGCGGTGTGTTTATCATCACCATCGGCATCACCAATCACCACAAAGCTGGGGACGTGAGCTCGATTGTTGGGTTTATCAAAGCCTGGAGCTCGTTAGCCAAGCTCGGCCATGGAGAAAACATAAAGGTATGAGGACGGTAATTTTTTCTTTGTCATAAATGCGTACAACCTACGAGAGCTGCTGGCACAACATTCGATTTTCTTGCAAAACCTTTGAACAAAAATCTCTCAAATATCGCCCAAGTTTTTGTCCAAGAAAATGCCGATGAAGGTTCTTGATGCGACTGTGGAGAATTTTCAAGGCGTGTTTGAGGAATTTAAGAGTGAAGCCCCAAATAACAAGGCGAATCTCATCCTTTTCTTGGCTGATAAAGATCCTTCGACCAATATCAGTTGGTGCCCTGGTACGCATTTACTCCTCATTAAGTGTTTTTTTATGTATGTTCTGCAAGTGGGTCTATTTGATTTGGTATGATAATTTTTAGTTATTAGACAGTGTGAATTTGGGGTGAGGCCCTTCTGAAGGATTGAGGTGCAAGAACGGAAATTTTTGAGTGATGAGATTTGGTAGTTTTATGTTCTGTTGATTTCTGTCGTTCTCTAGTAATGAGAGTTACCACTCTATTATGTGGCACTATTGTGTTTTCTTGTTATCTAGTTTATTTGATCATTGATATGATAATAAGTCAAAATTTAACTAGAATTTGTTTATTTCGTGTTCTAATCTTGTAAATTCATTTGTTGTGGCCTGTGGGTGTGTGACTATGAAGACTAAAATCTGATATTATATACTTGATGGATACGACTTAGCTTTTTTTACTTTTGAGTTTGTGAGATAGACATAAAAGAATCAATCTTTATATCCATTTTTCACCAGGGCTTGATCTCATTTTATATTGGTGCTTGTACACACTTCATTCAGCTAAAATTTCAAATTTTGTTAATCAATTTCGATTTATATGATCTGTTCGGATGAAGTATCACAATATGATTGTAATTCCTATTTACTCATTGTAATACATCTGCCGCAAGTGTTACTTTAAAAATTGTATGTTGACGTGATCAGTACAGAAGTCGAGTAATTAATAGTGTACGTTTTGGAAGGATTTGGATTACATTTGAAAATGACATTCTTCCATATAAAAGCACACAATCACATTGTTGGTAGTATTTGCTACTTGTAATCTTCTATCCTTGATAAAAGAAATAGCAAATAGAAGTTGCTCTCGACTTGGTTCTTTTCTCAAAATCTTTCCCTTTTTTTTTCGAGAATCAATTTCTGTGTAGGAACTTTACGAACTTTATTGTTCTACTTCAGATTGTGTAAGAGCCGAGCCAGTGATATACAATAAACTCGAAGCTTGGCCTGAAAATGTGGCTCTTTTGAGGACATATGTTGGGGATAGACCGACTTGGAGAAACCCACTGCACCCTTTGAGGACCGACTCGATTTTCAAGCTTAGAGGGATTCCGACTTTGGTTCGATGGGAAAATGGAGGCATCAAAGGCCGTCTTGAAGACAATGAAGCCCATCTGGAGCACAAAATCCACACCCTTCTTTCTGTAAATTAAATAATTTTCTTTATTTTATTTTTATTTTTTGTTTGTTTGGAGGTTTTTGAAGACAATGTGTGTTCTTGTGCTAATAAAGTTGCAAACTTTATTTCAGTGAGGTGCTGTTGGTCTTGGATGTATGTAGTTTAGATCAATCTTGAAAAATGATGGCTTTTCTTGTTTAGTTAGCGACCCCAACGGGGTAATCCTAAGACCCCAACAGGGTAATGAGACAGGGGCCAACGGCCCAAACCAAAAACACTCCTAAAAAAAACAGGAATAGAAAACTGAGAGGACACGCACATGGCGGCCTAGAGAACTCCACAACCGAAAATAAAGGAAATTAAATAACAGAGCCACTGCACAATGCCTAGTCTGTATTCATTTCCAAACAAAGACAAAAACACACCGAACAAAAAAAGACAACAAATCGAAAAAACAACACACATTACAAACACACTGAAGAATTAAAAAACGACCCTCCCCCGGAGAAACAACTAAGCCGAAGAAACAGCTACAACTGACCAAAGGATAGGCCCCTAGCCAAGCCCCAACCCCCGAAACTGCCGTAGGCCTAACAAGAGGCAGGGCCCCGCCCCCGAACCCAACCAAAGGACAGCACTCACTGACCGAGGAGAACAGGCTCAGCCACCCCAACCAGCATAACCCTGACTAGGCTAACACCACTAGCCTATGTCGAGAAAACTGGATCCCACGCAACCCATACCGAGCTGCACCAGGATAGTTGCTACCTGCCCGAACTCCAACTCCGGCAACCACCACTTGAGACACACGGCAGCCACCGGAGCCCCACCCAACCACCACCGTCGCCGACCCGCTTCCACAACCGCAGACTCACCATCGCCCTCTCGCCACATCAGCCAACTACTCAGCAGGGATCCGACCCCCGGCTAAGCGGTCCAAACCACGCCCACCCTCAGCACCACCAACCCTACACCCAAACGGGCCGAAACAGCCCTGACAGACAGCCCCGACGGAGAAATCGCAGGGACCCAAGTCGAACCCTAACCCCCAAATTCACCAATTACCCAATCCACCAAACAGAGCCAAATCAAGTTAGGGAAACTAACCTACAGCCACCCAATCGCGACGAGCAGAAGACGCCGGATTACGAGCTGGAACCGCCGAGATCCCCAACCCACCGCCAGACGGGAGAGACGAAGACGATGAGAATGCTATGTCTGCTAAACCAAGGAAAAACCACGGCAATGGAGGAAAGGGCGGCCAGCGACGGCCGCAGAAACGGCGTCGCCGTCGCCGGAAGAGGCCAAAACAGTCGAAAGGAGCGGAGCTTTTTGGATTGAGAAAGTCGGATATCGGAGGGGAAAGGAGAAAATTGTTATTCCTTGATATAAAATGATTTTAGTTAGCTTGAATATGGCTTTTCTTGTTTTATCTTTCATTCCTCATTTTTTTTTTATCTTTTTTTTTTCTTCACTGATATTTCACCTGAAAGATGCTTCACTTGAAATATCAATGATATACCTTGTTAATATATTACGATATATATTATATTTTAAATAATCTTCAAATTACATCATATTCATTAATATATATTATATAAATGTTAATTGTAAAGTATATTTGAAAATAAATATAAAGAAATTTATCATTTTACACAGACACCCTAAGCACTAGGTCCCAATTCTTGCTTAACAAGCATCTAAATCACTTTTATAACCTTAGTTAAATAGATTTCATTTGTCATGCCAATAACAATTGATGATAATATAATGTAGTAAAAAGTAGAGTTAATTTTAGTTAACTAGAGTTAATTTATGAAATATTTCATTCAAAATGAGTTATTTTAGTTAACTAGAGTTAATTTTGAAAAAAGTAGTATGACCAATTGTTAGTGGGATTTTAAGAATGTATTAAAATAATATTTAAAATAAAATGATTAAAATTGATGTGATGTAAAAGTAAGAGATAAATGATTGGAAATGATTAGAAATGATAGGTAGTTAAAATTATGTGAGTGGATGAATAGTGAATTAAAGTTGATGTGATGTGTAAAAATGATTGGTTTGTATTATTTAATTATATGAATAATATTAAAGATAATGAAGTTGAGTTAAAGTTGAGTTAAATTTTGAGTATAAATTGGATTGAGAATGAAATAATTTGTAAACAATCATGCCCTAAAACCAGCCATTACATAAATAAACAGCAAAGAGCATAGTATAGCAAAAATTCAGACATTGCTGATTGCCCATTAACCATCCACAAAATTACAAAAAATAGTAGTATTAGTTACTTCCACATACATAACATAACCAAAATTAATGCCAAAGCCTCCATTGACATTACACCATTACATGCTTATTAATTCAACACCATATAATCTGCCCAACTACATGTAAAACCCTTCAGATACTGGTTATATCCTGAAATTACATAAGGATTATCCAAAAGGATACAAAAATAGCTGGAGAGAACATTATAATTTAGCACAACCATGGTAATCAGTCTCCCATGGTTTCTTAGACGCCTCGTCAAATTCCATGTCACTGAAAATGAACAGTCTCTTGATCATCTGACCCGGGTTCAATTTCTTGTCCACCGCCACATGAAACAGCAACTCAAACACCTTCTTCCCGCCCCAATCCACACACCTCACAAACTTTGTCTTCTCATTCAGGCTGGAACCCTCGACAGTCTGAAGATAGAGACTTCCGCTGAACGTAATCACTTTCCCTTTCCAAGGCTCCTTACTCAATTCAGACACCAAAAGCCCGAGAGCCACCTATACGTCCATTGGAATCCCGGTCATACTCCCCGACACATCACAGACTGCAGAGCAATTATTTAGCTTCCCAATCTTCGCTATGTCATCCACCATCCTCCTCCTTTGAAGCTCCTCCAATGAACATGAGCATTGGTAGAAGGAAATAATATTAGATAAATAAATGTAAAATAACCAGTAAATCTATAGGATGTGTTAGAATGAGTAATAACTTAAATCTACTGCCATTTTTCAAGGTATATTATCTTCTAAATACTTCAGCCGAAACAACTTCAACAATTTACTATACTTACATGTCTCCGACCGAGAGTTGCGAAATTTTTCGAGCCAACCATGAATTGAGCATGGAGACGATGAAGATATTTCGGACCGAAGGTAATCTCCGACCACGGGTTGCGAAAATATTTAGCTTCTTTTCAGTTTTTCCGATGGGCCGAAAGACGGGGCACGGGGGCGGAAAAATGAAAATGGCGTTGGGCGGTATTCTCATATCTTGCCCTAATTTTAGTGAAAGAGGTTATTTCCGCCTTTTATTTTGTTCTCAAAAAAATGGCGCTGGTTTCAATTATTTTGGGAGGTTATTTCTGCCTTCTATTTTATTTTCAAAATAATGGCGCTCGTTTCAATTATTTTGGTTGGCAAAAATGGATAACTTTAGTAGGAGGAGATAATTTTCAATATATAATTATGAGGAAATAAACTCCTATTCCAACTACCACGTACCCATCAATAATCAATAATAATAATAATATAATATAATAATAATAATAATAATGACTTAAATTTAATCATTGATAATTATAAATTAGAATAAATTAGTATATAAGTATATGTACACGATTAATCAATTGAATCATAAAATATAATCAAAGTAAATGAAAAATAGATATAACAAGAATTATAAAAATTTTAGTGCCTAATTGATCGTTTGACCCATTACACATGTACATCTAAAAATGTTGAGTGTAAAAACAAAAAAAGACTATTATGAAAATTGCTATGAATAAAATTGAATACACTATTTACAGTCATGAAAAACAGTCAGTAACAGCCTACTAAAGCAGCTATGTAGCCGAAATAAAATGAAATATTAATAAAATATATTTTGGATTAAAAATAAGAATAATACTAACCAATATTTATTTTATTATTGATTCTTATAAAATTAAATAAAATATAAGTATATAAATATGTACTTTTATATGACATATTGAATAATAAAAGTAAAATGAAAAATAAATGTCATGAATTTATAATTTGATTGTTAGTAATTGATTTTCTTGATTTCTTTGTCCTAGACTTAGGGGTTAAGCTTTTAGGGTTTAGGGTTTAGGGTTATTTTGAGTGCATAGCATGGCCGCCCAAACAAAATTATAGTGTCGTCTAGCGCCTAAATGGATGTCTAGAGCCATTTNTTTAGTTTCTAATTAGAGGACATGATTAAAATTATGAAATACAAATTTCTTTAACTAGCATCCATGTAATACACGGATACTGTACTAGTAATTAAATAATATCAATCAATTATCATAACACATCACATCAACTTAAAAGTTTGTATCAATTAATTTGTAGGTATTGACCATTTAATATATAAATTATATTATTTAGAATTTTATAAATGTATATCATCATTTTACTTTTCATTCTTTTGTTCATATTAATTTCTTTAATTTACTTTTTCAACCTATATAATGAGTTAATTAGTATCCATTTGAATATTTAGATACATTATATGTTTCCATGATTACCAAGTGGTATAATTTAAATTATGATACGTGACTATTTTATTTACTTATTTTTATTTATAAAATAATATATGTATAAATTATAGTTTCTTAAAACTTGAATAGTTTTGTAATGTACACAGATATTTGTAAGGTGAAACTTATAATTTTGAATTGTACCCGATAATCAAACATTAATTTTAATAATATAGTTTTTCATGTTTCAATTGTACTATCATTACAAATGATATATTCAATGGAAATTTACCTTTTTATAGTTAAGTTAACTACATTTTAAAAAAATTTATTAATATTTTAAATTATTCCTTTTGTTAGTATGATTCAAACATAGTTATTCTGATGACAACCATAAATGATAATATATTTAATCAAATTATATTTTATAATATTTTTTTTTTTGAATTGTGTCAATAAATTACTATGAAATTAATATAAAGATCTTATTGAAAATATATATAATCAATCCACGGTCAAAATAACCTTTATAAGTCAATTTATGGTTAACGAATATTAGCCATTGAGTACATAAAAATTAATACGATTAATTACTATTAATCGATATTTATTTTATCAATTAAGTAAGATAAATCTTAATCGACTATGCAATTAGAGTTGCAAACAAGTCGAGTCGAGTTGAACGTTGGTTTGATTGAGTCATGCTCAATTAAGTTTTCCAACAATCATATTCCAACTTGTGGTAGTAGTACCGAACATGTCAAGCTACTGGTTGGTTCAGTGGTGCGAGTAGTGATTGATTCGGTTGGATCAGTATTTAATTTATTAGTATTTTTAAACATATATAATATTTTGTATAGTAAAATTTATATAAAAAATTTGTTGATTAAATTTTAAGCCAATTTAAAACATTGAAATACTTAAATTAACTAATAATAACTTACATAATTTCTTTATACTAGTACAGAGCCCGTACGATGCACGGGGTGCACAATTTTAAGGCTATTTATCCAGGCTTATAATTATATAGATGAATAAAGAAAAATGTACGGGATATATATAGTACGTGACCCGTGCGACACACAAGATATATTTATTTGGAGAATATTATATTATAAGATGCAATATTCAATAAAAGTTTATAATACGCAAGAAAATTGTACAATGTTCAATAAAAGTTTTATAATATTCAAGTGGAGTCTTAAAGTCTCTTGTACATTAAGATTACTAACAAAATAATATTTACTCAATGAGTTTCCTTTCCTTGTAGCCAAATTGTGAATGTGATTTGAGGAGTACAACAAATCGATATATAGCTGACTTGCTTTTTTCATTGTAGTTTTTTTTCTTTTTTCTTTTTATAATGAATTTACAGATATTCTAAAATATAGCAAAAATTATTTTTTTATTACAATTAGGAATTTTACTAAATATAAACTCTCAATCTATGATGTTAATCAACGTTTAAGTCTAAAAAATTAGGAATTTTACCTCTTTTAATCAATGTTTAAGTCTAAAAAACAATAGAGTTATTATAAGTTTTTTTTTCTACATCTTTTAAAACATTAAATATGAGCATGTTAGGGCTATTGTAAAATAATTAATATATTATCTCAGTAAAACATTTATATTAATAAAAATTTAATTTTAGCATATAAATTTATCCCTTGATATAAGAGAAAGTAACAATTTTACTTATTGTTGTTCACCATATAATATAATTATTATTTTATTATATAATAAAAAAATATTGTTAAATATTGTAGTAGAATTTTTATAAAATTATATGATTTTTTTTTTACAATATGGATTTAATTTTTTTATGATTTGATAATATAAACAAATCTATACTTAACTTTGAAAAATAAAACAAATAAATACTTTAGTAAGTATTTAATGTATATACTAAATAGGAATATATTTGGTATAATCAAATACCAAATATAATCAAATAAGTCAAAGTGTATACTTTTATTTGGTATTTGATTTTTTTATTACTAATTTTTTTTATTATACTTACCTTTTTAAAATAAAACAAATAAACAAATCAATTAAATAAATAAAATATTATAATACCAAAATAGTAATGACATTTAATGCAGTTGACTTTTATGGATAGTAAATGTAGTAAATAGAATCTCCTTTTATATAAGTATAGATTATATAATACGGAAATAGTAATGCAATAAATGTTGTTGACTTTTCTTTATACTAAATCTGGTAAATGGTATACCTTTTAATATAAGTATAGATAGGATGGCTTTTTATATAAGTATAGATATATAAATTTAATTCATCATTATTCATGACCCAAACAAAGACATAAACTGAAAAATGGGCTAAAATTTATCAACTTGAAAAAATAAAAAAATATAATGAATGGGATAAATCCTTGGTAAAATGAAATAAGGAGAAAAATATTTGTGTGATGACAAAGTTGGTAATGAAACATAGATTGACAAGAGACAATAATGTATGGTGGAGAAATTATTTATGGCACTTTCCAAGTCAATTTTGTTTCTAAATTTTTTATCCAAACCTAAATACAAAGCATGATATTGTGACGTGTAGGATTCCAAAGCGTGCGAGTCTGCCACTTAGGCTTAGTACGTTTTGAATTAATATATAAGGGGATATGAACATTTTTTAATGTTGTTACTTTGATTTGTTAAAGTGCTCATAAAAAACAGTTAGTACCATTTTTTTAATCCGTTATTAGTGTGTACCCCGTGCGATGCACGAGAACAATATTAAATTAACAATATTATAAATAGAACTCGAGTTTGAGTCACTCAATGGCGGAAGTGGAAACTACTATTGATCTTATTTAAAAAGAGGAAGAAAAAATACTAATTATAAATTAAAGAAGAGGATGAACAATACTTAATAATTATAAATTAAAGATTCGGGGTCAAACAATGTAAAATTATTTTGTATAAGACAATATAAAAAAATTTGATTATACCATTTCAAAATTATTATTATACATTATTGTATGGTTAGCTTATAATATTTGTAAAAATATTAGTAATTAAACCGATGAAAATTAGCTTCTTAAAGTAGATAGTTTCTAGTAGTAATTATGAATTTTTATTTTATTTTCTCTTTTTTAAAGATAATGGATTTCTAGTAGTAATTATGAATTGATTTTTATTTTATTTTATTTTTTCAAATGATTTGGTTTCTATTTTATTTTATTTTTTCAAATTTGTATAGATAAGGGATGAAATTTTTTAAACACGTATGCAATGAGATTTTGTAACAGAGATTTTGTAACAGAAGATAAGCTCGTGTAGATTTATACTAAAAATAGGAAAAAGAAAAACAAATATTTGTTGTCAAACAACGGTTTTGATAAACTAAAAAAAGGAAAAAGAGAAAAAGAGAAACAAATCTTTACACAATTAATGAGCCGATTTTTTTGCCTATTCAGATTTGTCCAACAATTACTATATGTAGGATATATTTAATGATTTTGGCGGGAAAAAGTTTCTAAATTTGTTAAAAAAGTTATTCTTTTTATATAATGATAGATTTAAATATGTATTTTTTTGTTTATCTTAAAAATATTTTCAATGTAAAAAGATTTATTGCAGTGTTTACGTTATTATGTCAAAAACTATGCAATGTTTATGTTATTGCAGCATGATTGAAACAGTAAATGTCAATGTTATACTCTGTAGCATTCTTCTACCTATGTATAAACATAAACCCAAGCAAAAATCATAAAGAAGCCATTTATATTTTCATTAAAGAAAAATATGGAAAACGACAAAAGGAGTTCACATTCTTTTTCCTTCAACTAATAACTAGCAAGATTCTTCACAAACATCAATTTCAGAATCCTGTCTAGTCCATCCTTACCAACCAATCAAAACACACAACACACACACACACATATCTCGGCAAAAAAAAAAAAAAAAAAACTAGTTCGGCCCGTCGTACTCGTCATCTTCATCTATCCCGAATAACAAGTTGTGAAAATTTCAGAAGGGAAGCAATCCGGGGCAGATGCACAAGCAAATACCCCAACGAGTGCCTTCTTTGCATTGCACGACTCGACTCGAAAGCAGAGACAGAAGATTCTTTAGCACCTCTGGTTCCTTCCAAATGTTCTTCAATGGAAACTTCTTCAGGATCAAAGTATGTTGAGCCCATATTTATTTCGGGTTGTCGGGTTAAGATACTAAGACGATTATCACACTGTTTGAGCCCATTATTACAGTGACGAAATCATTATTTCTTCTCACATTGCAGAAGAAATTGGTATGTTGGCTCTAAAATCATGAGACTAACCATTATTACAGTGACGAAAAATACGAGTGAACTTTGGCGCATTCAGTCAAGCGACATAGAAACCAAGGAAATATAACTTCCACAAGCTTTGAATATTGCAACAAAAGGGGGGAAAATAAGGATAACTTAAAGCTAGCCTGTCCATCAGTGGTTGCCTGCGACAGAGTGTGCTTTTTGGGTTGTGGATTGATCTCTCGGAAAAAGGTAGGCCGAGCTAGCTGGAGCTCACAAGATTAAAACAAACGATGTTAATGTGTATTATGGTGCCACTACTAATAATCGGAAAAATGAAGGAAAAGGTAAAATGTATCATGATGGTTAAAGTGCCAGGATCATTATCAAGACACTCGGCTTTCAGGGCCATGATATCAGACCACTGGATTTCTATTTTGCTCTTGAGACCACATTCAAGAACTTCCCAGACAAGTTTATGCTTAGCAAAATAACACTTGGCCACCAGATCACCTTCGTATGTCGATACATACTGCCAAAAAAACCCAAAGTCACCAACAAGGAAGGCATTTAGCGAATCGGACTATTACACTTTCTAAACTAACTGATATACCAATTGAGCTTACTTGTGACCAGGACTAATCAAACACCTCATTAACTCTACTGCTACATGAACATGAGATTATTCATTTTGACCAAATTTAACAAACAACCCACCAGAAGCATTTAGGTGGAGCATGCTGATTCATAAGAACATGTAGAGTTAAAAGTTCAGATAAAGTACTTCTCAGCTGCCGATTCTCAACAGCAAAGCCAGAAAATTCGAAGCCTTCAACTTGTCATTAGCAGCACTTGAGGGAGCAGAAAAGCCCTTGACATCTTTCTTGCTTCAAGAATCAGTAGTTTCACTCCTCAAACCCAGAGGCCTTGGCTCATCGAGTGGATTATACTGAGAGGGTGGGACTGAAACAGGGGTAGAATATACTTGCATGGACACAAGGGAGGTCCTTATTGTAAACCCAACAAGTTCTAACTACGCGTGCCTCGAAGATGTTTACGAGAATTGATTCGATAATGTCAACAGTATTTTGGTGGGATTTTGGCAAGTATTGAGGAATAGTTTGGCCGCAGTCAAGTGAGCATCACGAATCAAGGTTCGTCAATGGCAGTCCCGGATAAGTTTATTCAGCCCATATTTTTCTTCTCTGTTTGAGTTTGTGACACTAAGCACCATTTTCATCCCAAGTAGCGGAGTTGTTATTGTACTTCCAATTTGAGTATAGCAGCTTTATTCTTCTGCCAGAGTTTACCAACTTCCCGTTCTGAATAGAATTTGATTAGATTATGATATATTCTTCCATATATGCCTTAAAGAATAAATCGTGATCTAGGTTTTGCTGTCTTCTTCAGTTTACTCATCCATTTCGTACACCTTGGTTGAAAGTTTGTCTCACATCTTATTTTAATATTGCAGCTTCACTAGTTATGAATAAAAGACAAGGCATGTTGAATGTTGGTGTACAAGAAACAACTGTTGATGGGTTATTCGAAAAACATCATTAGTGCATATTCCAAATATACAGTTATTCTGCATGTTGAATGTGCTTAGGTGGCAATATTCCAGAGCCATGTTGTTTTGGCACTTCAAGAGGCTGCTGAGGCTACCTTGTGGGTGGGTTTGTTTGAGCATGCCTGGTTATATTGGTGGATTTTAATGTGTACTAGATATTGAAACTCTAATATTAGTGTTTGTGGTTGTCAGTATCTTTGATTTCAGATTCTGTTAGTGTGCTATTGTGAGGTTTATTGGTAATATTTCTGATGGGAAGGACAATGAACCCTTGATATGTTTTGTCTTGTGAATGCTTCATTAAGTTTCTGTTTGGATAACTATTGAAAGGATTCTGGTTTGTTTCTAGCTACTAGTTTGAATTTGGTATATGGTGTTATTGCTTCATTTACTTTAAGAAGATGCTAGCTACTTCATCCCATTTCGTCATCTGATTTGGTAGTATTGTCATCTTAATTTTTTATTAAAAAATCTATAAATGTGACTTGGGCCGATATTCTCAATAAGACCATTTGTTTAATGGGTCCGATTTGGTAAAAACCAAAAAATATAATTTTCAAATTGAACCCAATACATTTTCTTTTGAACAAAATAAAAAAATAAAAAAAAATAAANATTCTAATTTTTTTTTTTTTAAAAATGAAAAATTTCAAACAAAACAGATATATAACATCAAAATCATTTCGATTTTACAATCCCGTTTTACTAAAACATAATAAAAAAGTGCAAATCGGCCAATTACATAACAAATCTATAAAGATCTTGAATTTTGTTTTGATTTAAGGTTGTCGTCCCTATTTGGCTAAAAATGCTTCAATGAATAATAAGGAAATGGTTCAATCGGGCAGTTATAGTATGGATCTATCAAGATCTGTAATCTTTGTTAAGAAGTTATAATTTTTTTTTTTTTATAAAATCGTGTTCTCAGTTAATTCCATAAGTCGATTTGATTTTTTTTGTTTTGATTTGAAGTTGTCGTCCCTATATTGCTAACACACTTCAATGAATCATAAGAAAATAGTTCAATAGGACGATTATAGTATAGATCTATCAAGATTGTAATGTTTGTTGAGAATGATTTTAAAAAAATCGTGTTTTCAGTTGATTTCAGAAGTAGATTATATTAAAATATTATTTTAGTGTTTGTTTTATTGCTTTCTTTCAAAAATTATGAAATAACTACACAATTTGATGTTTTTGGTCAAAACATAGATTTGTTTTTGCGAAAAAATGAACGAATCTTGTTATATTTAAAGACTTTCTTATGGTTTTATGGAAAAATATACATGTTGTTCGGGTGCAACAGTCGATCTGCACATAAATATGAGTCATATGTCCGATTTTCAAACTAAAAAAAAAAATTCTAAGTACACCTCATTTCTACTCGG